AAATATATAATTATAGCTTAACCGAATGTGCCCTTTAAATAGCTCTCTTTCTAGAATTATAAAATATTACGAAACAAAACCAAAACAATTTAAATATATGCATTAATGTAATAATTGTATAACTAGTAAGGTAATTTTCAAAAATGTTACTCAACAAGAAAACTCTACAAAAAATGAACAAGAACAACAACGAGTAGTCGACGTCATCGTATAAATTTCAATTTATATTGAGGCATACTGAAAGCTGGTTTCGAAATTTATTTGTTTAAAACGTAAGAATAACAAAATTTAAATGTGAATTTGAAACTTACCCGATAGGACCTATCGACGACTTGAAGTGAACGTTGCAGGTGCGCTGTAGTGAAGCAAAGACTCGAACAAACAGATCTTTAACAAAGATGTAAAGTTAAACGAAACCGAAACCGAAACTTTAACGGAAACTGGCACAGGACACTCTAAACTTTCCGCCCAGAAAAACATATGTTTTCTTTCGCCATTTTGTTGAGCATTTTCTGCATGCCCCTTACAAAGACTTGAACTTTACTAGAGGGCCCCCTAACCTAAAGGACTCCGGTTAAATAATGAGAAACTATTCCTAACTAACTTTCGAAATGCTAGAACAATCAAATCACATTTCTTGCTAAACCAACGATCGACTTAGTGGGGGGAGGGCGCAGAATGAATGAGCAGGAGGGACTGAGGAGAGTGTAACCTCGAACAAGGACGAATAAATAAAATCAATTGCATATCATCTTACGTAGCGAGGCATAAACCGAGTATGTATAACTAAAATCAGAACAAAATACAAATTCAATTGTAACTAAAAGCAACAACAAAACAGCAGAAACCAACTACAATTAATGATAAAAACCATGTAAGGCTTAAAGGCTAACCAACTATATATAGTTACATATATAAACGACCATTTGTAGGCAAGCTTTTTACATAATAATTTTTAAATGTTTTCGAAGGAGTTCGTTCAGTCTCGTTTAAACCAATTTAAGTATATATACGGATAAAATCTTAAAATTTTACCAAAGTTGTCCTTACTAATTTAACACTTTAAGTTAACGGCTTCACACAATTTGTTAAACAAAAAAAAAAAAACCAAACAAAACAGAATAGACCCATGAGTAAATCCACTAATTTTAAATGTTTTTAAAGCTTAGTTTAGGGTAGATGTGACTAGACATACCAAAGGCATATTTGACAAAAAGAAGAAGTAATAAGACAATTGTTAAGAGAAAATATGATAAACCTAATGAGAAACACTGTTTAATTGGTACAATTTTAGCCCTCTTCTACACGTTTTATTTTTTTATTTAATTCCCTGTCTAACTTTAGTCGAATGTAAAATGCATATTCCGTCCAATTACATTTCTTGCTTTCCTCTTGCCCGAAAATATCATCTCTTCGCCAGCATCGCGTTGGTTCGAAAGCATCATTCGAAGTTAAGAACAGAGGTTTATTTATAAGTCTGTAATCTTTACACACACACCCACACACACACACACAAAAATGGAAACACACTTACCACAGTAACAACTAAATTAGTTAAAGTTTTAGTAAGTAAGGAAGGAAAGTGTTTGATTAAACATATATTGTACTAATGCATATCATAAAATTGCGCCTTTAAAAACAATTTAAATTAAAACAAGAAGCCCGATTACGGAAAACAAAAATATTTACAACTATAAATAAGCTTAAATAACAAGAAGAAAAACCATTATTAGAAGCTAATGTATGAAACAAATATTTTCGAAATTAATTTTTAGATTCTAAGCAAGAGATGGTCGAGGAGCCTAAGAAGAATATGCAACAAAAGCAATGAACACACGCATAAATCGCAGGTGTAAGTGCATATGTGTGGGAGTGTGCCTGTGTATGTGTGCGTGTGTGTGTGTGTGCGTGTGTGTTCCTAGGAAAATCTTGTGCAATTTTTCAATGAGAAAGAAGGCAAGGAAAGATAACCAGCGCGGTGGCAAGGTTGTTCGATTCCCACCCCCATAACCACTTCGAGGCTTAATTTCCAGACATTCTTTAATCGAAATTTCATAGCTATATACATATAGATTATACCGATCTGCAGCATGCAAATATTGGACCTGGACTCCAATCGGATTATCTCAGCAACACCAGGAGAAACTTAGCGCGTAGACGATAAACTAAAGAATGCTAAAATGAATGAATGACAGAAAAAAACTAAACTAAACAATATGAATTATGGGAACATTATATGAATATATATACACACACATATGTAAAACATTTTTGAAGGAAACAAAAGAAAAAAACTTAATAACAATTACAAAGGGAGGAAAAATAACAAATACATATCAGCAAACGGATAAAGAACAAAATGAGAAGAAACTTTTACAAGAAGCATTATTAAGACAAAACAAAAACCGATATGTTTTGATGTGGTTTTTAAATTTTTAAACATTGTAAGCGTAAAAAGGCAAGAAAGCAGTTACCAAAAATGGAAAGGGAGACGACAGCATAACTGAATGGAAGCTTAGTAATAGATTATGGAACTACTTACATAAATGCTAGCTATATGCTTACATAGTAACGACATATCTACATATGTATGTATGTGGAAGCAGTAATAGAAAGACAGTAAACAGTAACCGTATCGATAGTTCATTAACAACAAATATTCTACTCTATTGTATTTATTGCGTTTGCTATGATTTTCGTCTCGAGAATGCCTCCGTTGCGTACTCGATTCTTTGTTTAGTTTAAGTTCCCGCCCAATTAATTGCCTTATGTTTGCCTAAACAATTATATTACGAACAATTCAATACTAATTTCTAAGTAATTTATATTTACATGTATATGTATTGTATACCTCTATTATAAACCCCATATATAAATATACTTATATCATTTGTGTAGCCTTAACTTAGAACTTTTCAATTGACGGTATTAATTATGCATAATAAAACTTTATATTTTGTTCGTTAAACAAATTATTTATTTGTTTCATTCCGCTCATTCAACATACACACTCACACAAGATAAACCTTTGAAGAAACGAATTTTAAATTAGTGAAAATTTTTGCGAGAAAATTAAAACCAACTATACAATTACATATATTATACTACATACATATATGAGTCTCTCCCCTCTTACAATTCTGAGTCATTCGAGGGAGAGCCAAGCCTAGAAAAGCATTATACTCAACCACAACTGGCTACAGACAGAGCAGAAAATTCGCTGTAAATTTGTAATACATAAAGTACTATGCAGAAACATATGTATAGTATATCTATAGAAGGTTAAGTAGGAAAGGTAACTGATATTAAATATTGAAAATATCAGGGCAGAGGCAGAGAGAAAGTACGGTCAGCAGAAAATGGAGATAACACAAGTCAAAACATATCAAACTCGTGCCCGATTAAAACTACATATATATATATACACTATATATAAATTAAAAGCAGCCACAAATTATGCGCAGCAATTTCTAATGATAAAGAAGGAGAAAATTGATAAATTATTAAACATGAACCGAATGTCAAACGGGAAATGCATCTTTTATTTGCATGACTCAATGTTGAGTGTACTTTTATCAGTAAATAATACGAACAAAATGATTAATATTAATTATAATATTGAAACTACAACAAATGGCAACTATTTGTCTATTTTGAGGCTCATTTATTTCAAATTTTTGCAAAACAAAACAAACTTTCTTTTCAACAATCGAACAAAGATCTTTTGCTAATATTGTAAAACAAATTGATTTTTCAAAGCAAATGAAAAAGAAATATATAGCTAAATATTATTATAAAACTTACATAAAGCAGAAACAAAACTCGTATATATATAAATATAAATATCAGCCTTGTTCTTTATATATATATATTTGAAAACAAAAACAAACAAAAAAAGGAAACCATACAAAATATTAATAATTATTAACTACTATAAAAAAATGGATACAAAAACATAAAAAATATTTAGCGAAAATATTGTATTGTGAGTTTAAATGTATTGTTGCATACAAAACCAAAGAAAGACATAAATCGGTACAGTTAAGTTAAATGTAAAACTAAATGGCAATACCAACCGATTGGCAGTGACACTTGATTGACAAGAACCGAACAGATCAGATCAGATCAGAACAGAACAGAACAGAACCGAACCGAGAGTAAGGTGAACCATTTTTCAGAGACAGCAACCAGCGATAAGAACTAATCGAAACTAAATTCAATTGAAAGTACCATGCAGATTATTTCAAATCAATAATAGCAGGGGGTCAGGCCCAAGACAAATTATACAATTTGATAACGATAATATTTTCAAGCGATCTAGATCGGGGAAAGCACAAACGATACGCCCTGCATCCAAAGGGAAGCAAAAGAACAAATCGCAGTTTGCAGCAGGCGACAAATTATAATAATAATAATACAAATAATAAATAAAAACTTTAACAATTGTTTTGTGTAATTGTAAACAAATGGAATTTGTTGTGGCTGGGCCTTGGCAAGGCAAGATCGGTTAAAGGTTTGTATAAATATGAAAGTAAAATGCTTTCTTTTTAAATCCAATAAAATCCAGAAATTGGTGATTTTGATTTTCATTTTTATCTCAATTTAAATTAATGATATAATAGGGTGTATTATAGTCTTTATTATATACATTTTTCTGCATGTTCTTATCTCTGCTCAAATGATCTCTGGCAATAAGTACCTAACCTCTCAGATGTTGATAAGCCGAGTACAAAAAACCCAAAACGGGTCATTTTAATGCGGCTCAACGATAACAACAAGAAACAGGAAGACCTGAACACAAATATCCACAGACATATTAGAGTCCAGCTCAACGATAATGAATGCAAACAGGACTAACTCAAGTGTTATTTGCTCAGCTTTTCTACCTGGAGACGCTGCGAAAGATTCCTCTCTTCGAAAAACACCCTGTATTTCCGGCACTTAGGGCAGCTGTTGATTGATATAGATTCATTATCTCCCATTTAGTTGTCTTCCGACTGAGCAACTCGTAGGTTGTGCAATGAGATCTGTGTGTTTCGTCTTGCTGCTCGTTTGGTTCGCGAGCCAAAGCGAAGCTAATAAAAAGGTGTCCTGCAAGGATGAACAGGGCAACGATGTGGATTGGTGAGTTTTTTAGTTAGGATTCATTGTCTTAATTTTTCCGGCTAAAACTATAAGCAGGGTTTACTGAATTGAAATTAAATATTGCCATAACTGAACACATAATTTGTTATTTGCATTGAAAACGTTTGGCAAATATGAGTGACTATTTGTAAATATCAAGATATTAGAGATCTTTAAAGTGTACTAAGTGATACAAAGAGAACTTGAGTGATAAAATTTTATATATAGCTATTAATAGCCAAGCAGTAAGATGTTCTCCCTAAGGAGGTCTGATCACGGGTTATCAGTGTTTTTCCCTGTGCTATATTTTTGCCTTAATCAAATTAAACAGATTTGTGTCTTGCAATTTCTGTAAAAATGAAAACCGAACTCCATACTAAAATCCACATTTATTTAACCTTTACAGGTGGCACTTGTACAAGTTGCCCAAGCATTATCAGCACAATGACTTGGGCAAGGACGTCACTGGACTCCGGTACTTGTATGTGACCAGCCAGAGCTACGAAACGTGGCAGCTATCCGGCAAGCGGATCAATGACCCCGGATCCCTACCGGCCCAAACCCTTAATCCCCTGAACGCCGATCCAACGAATATCCTGTTGGCGGCCTATAACGATCAGCAGCCGAACGGCACTGTTTTCAGCAACGGAGGACATGCCAAGGGAGTGGTGGCCAGCGATGGGGAAACGGCAATCTGGCTCGTCCACTCGGTGCCCAAGTATCCCACTGTCCCCGACTACTCGTATCCCACATCTGGGGAGCAGTACGCCCAGAGTATGCTCTGCGTCACCCTGAAGGCCGAGGATCTGGAGAAGGTGGGTCAGGTGCTGGTCTACAACGAACCGCACTTTTACTACGAGCGAAATCCCCTGGTCGGTCGGTCCGACGAACTGTTCCCGAGTCTGGAGAGAGCTCTGCATGGTCAGTGGCGTACGGAGTCACCATTCCAAAAGGAAGTCGAGCTGCGCAGCTTCGACGGCAAGAAGTTCCGGCTATTCGGCAAGAGTGGACGAGCCAATGTGGAGCTGTACGCCGATGTGGTGGCCCGGCTCTGGATGTTAGCCTCTTTGTGGAGGCGTGGCGCGATGGTGCCGGCAATCTGCCAAATAGCTGCGAGAAATCCGACAAGGTACTGAACGTTGAGTCCATCTCGAACCTGGAGCTCTCGGTGGACTTCATGACAACCCAGGACCACTCAAAGTGGGCCGTATCCCGTCCGAGCGGCATTCTAATCTATCACTGGCGTGTCGGCGGCGGGGATTGGATTTGTGTTGGCGACATCAACCGGCAGCAGGGCCAGCTGCAGCGTGGAGGAGGAACCGTGTGCCACAAGAGCGCCAGAGTCTCCAACCTGTACCGCCAGCTGGTCGCCAACTACGACAAGTGTGCCGAGGAGTAATGGATTCCCAGAAATATTGTCAAACAGTGAACTGCAAAATAAATAAACCAGAATTAATTTCTTCCTAATTCCTGTAAACCAATTTTATGGTCTGCCAATGAAGTTTTGATCAGCATTTAAAGCTGATTTTAAAAAATTGATTCGACAAAATATTTAACTTAACTGTAAGAAATAACAAATCCAACAACAAAATGCAAATCCAATTTGGCGAATTCTCCATACAAATTTCTTAATTTCTTGGTTTTGTGTACCAGGCAAACATAAAGCTCCGCAAGCAGCTATTCGGCTGATTAAAAAGTTCTGAAATAACGGATCTTAAAAGAGAGGAACGGGAAGAACCTCTCTGATTGGTCAGTTCAAACGTAAACAAAGAGCGGCCATTAGATTAATTTCAAATATAAACAAAGGGCGCCATTAAAAAGGTCTGAAGTAACGGATCCTCATAGAGAGGAACCTCTCTGATTGGTCAATTCAAACGTAAACAAAGGGCGGCCATTAGTAGAGTTGAAAAGATCCGTTATAATCAGCTCGTGCTGTTGTGCTGCTGCTGGGTTGCTGCCAGCTGTTTCTGTTTGCCTGGTTACACCAATTGTTGAATTAGTCTGACTACAGCCCATATTTGTAAGAAATAACAACAAATCCAACAACACACGTAGTTGAATTTGCGAATTTCTCTATTCAACTCGTGTCTTTATGTACCAGGCAAACAGAATGTTGAGCAAGCAGCTGATCCGCTGGTACAAATGGCCTAAAATAACGGATCTTCAAAGAGGGGAACGTGAAGAACCTTCTCTGATTGGTCAATTCAAACGTAAACAAAAGGCGGCCATTAGGTTAAATTCAATTGTAAACACAGGGCGGCCATTAAAGTCCTAAAGTAACCTCTTTGATTTGTCAATTCAAACGTAAACAAAGGGCGGCCATTAGGAAAGTTGAAAAGATCCGTTGTAATCAGCTCGTGCTGTTGAGCTGATGCTGGGTTGCTGCCAGCCGTTTCTGTTTGCCTGGTATAATTAATAAATTTGTATGGTTAAACAACGCCGAGCCGGGGCTAGGCAGAATTTATTAAAATGTTAAACTGAGTATGCAGGTTTATTATCCCAATAAAAACTAGCACAGGACTGTTTTCCGAATTGAATTTAATGCACTTTTGGCTTTGTTATGCATTTTTTAAACTTTGATTGGTCGCAAAAATTTTGGTTTAAAAATATAGATAAATATTGGCTCAAAGAATGGATTTCAATTTTAGTCACAAGGTATTTTAAAATGTTAAATTAAGTATGCAGGTTTGATAACCTAGTAGAAACTAACACAGGACAGCTTTCCGAATTGAATTAAATGCATTTTTAGCTTTGTTATGAATTTTTTAAACGTTGATTGACCGCAAAAATTTTGGTATAAAATATAAATAATATGGCTCAATGAATGGATTTCAATTTTAGTCCGAAAGTTGTAAAACGTGAAGGAGTCATTTCCGACCCTATAAACCATATATATTCTTGATCAGCATTAAAAGCTGAATCGATCTAGCCATGTCCGGCCAAAATCTATTTCTTTGCAAAATTTCCGAAAATTCCAAATTTTTATAAGGGGTTACAAGGGGTTTTAAGGGGGTTACATCATTAAAATTGTCAAAAATTGGCAAAAAATTGAATTTATTAAAATGTTAAACTGAGTATGCAGGTTTATTATCCCGATAAAAACGAACGCAGGACTGCTTTCCGAATTGAATTTAATGCACTTTTGGCTTTGTTATGCATTTGTTAAACTTTGATTGGTCGCAAAAATTTTGGTATAAAAATATAGATAAATATTGGCTCAAAGAATGGATTTAAATTTTAGTCACAAGGTTGTTTAAAATGTTAAATTAAGTATGCAGTTTTGTTACCCAAATAGAAACTAACACAGAACAGCTTTCCGAATTAAATTAAATGCATTTTTAGTTTTGTTATGCATTTTTTAAACCTTGATTGGCCGCAAAAATGTTGGTATAAAAATATAAATAATATGGCTCAATGAATGGATTTCAATTTTAGTCCGAAAGTTGTAAAACGTGAAGGAGTCATTTCCGACCCTATAAACCATATATATTCTTGATCAGCATTAAAAGCTGAATCGATCTAGCCATGTCCGGCCAAAATCTATTTCTTTGCAAAATTTCCGAAAATTCCAAATTTTTATAAGGGGTTACATCATTAAAATTGTCAAAAATTGGCAAAAAATTGAATTTATTAAAATGTTAAACTGAGTATGCAGGTTTATTATCCCGATAAAAACGAACGCAGGACTGCTTTCCGAATTGAATTTAATGCACTTTTGGCTTTGTTATGCATTTTTTAAACTTTGATTGGTCGCAAAAATTTTGGTATAAAAATATAGATAAATATTGGTTCAAAGAATGGATTTAAATTTTAGTCACAAGGTGGTTTAAAATGTTATTTTAAGTATGCAGTTTTGTTACCCAAATAGAAACTAACACAGAACAGCTTTCCTAATTAAATTAAATGCATTTTTAGTTTTGTTATGCATTTTTAAACCTTGATTGGCCGCAAAAATGTTGGTATAAAAATATAAATAATATGGCTCAATGAATGGATTTCAATTTTAGTCCGAAAGTTGTAAAACGTGAAGGAGTCATTTCCGACCCTATAAACCATATATATTCTTGATCAGCATTAAAAGCTGAATCGATCTAGCCATGTCCGGCCAAAATCTATTTCTTTGCAAAATTTCCGAAAATTTCAAATTTTTATAAGGGGTTACATCATTAAAATTGCCAAAAATTGGCAAAAAATTGAATTTATTAAAATGTTAAACTGAGTATGCAGGTTTATTATCCCGATAAAAACGAACACAGGACTGCTTTCCGAATTGAATTTAATGCACTTTTGGCTTTGTTATGCATTTTTTAAACTTTGATTGGTCGCAAAATTTTGGTATAAAAATATAAATAATATGGCTCAATGAATGGATTTCAATTTTAGTCCGAAAGTTGTAAAACGTGAAGGAGTCATTTCCGACCCTATAAACCATATATATTCTTGATCAGCATTAAAAGCTGAATCGATCTAGCCATGTCCGGCCAAAATCTATTTCTTTGCAAAATTTCCGAAAATTTCAAATTTTTATAAGGGGTTACATCATTAAAATTGTCAAAAATTGGCAAAAAATTGAATTTATTAAAATGTTAAACTGAGTATGCAGGTTTATTATCCCGATAAAAACGAACGCAGGACTGCTTTCCGAATTGAATTTAATGCACTTTTGGCTTTGTTATGCATTTTTTAAACTTTGATTGGTCGCAAAAATTTTGGTATAAAAATATAGATAAATATTGGTTCAAAGAATGGATTTAAATTTAGTCACAAGGTGGTTTAAACTGTTAAATTAAGTATGCAGTTTTGTTACCCAAATAGAAACTAACACAGAACAGCTTTCCGAATTGAATTAAATGCATTTTTAGTTTTGTTATGCATTTTTTAAAACTTGATTGGCCGCAAAAATGTTGGTATAAAAATATAAATAATATGGCTCAATGAATGGATTTCAATTTTAGTCCGAAAGTTGTAAAACGTGAAGGAGTCATTTCCGACCCTATAAACCATATATATTCTTGATCAGCATTAAAAGCTGAATCGATCTAGCCATGTCCGGCCAAAATCTATTTCTTTGCAAAATTTCCGAAAATTTCAAATTTTTATAAGGGGTTACATCATTAAAATTGTCAAAAATTGGCAAAAAATTGAATTTATTAAAATGTTAAACTGAGTATGCAGGTTTATTATCCCGATAAAAACGAACGCAGGACTGCTTTCCGAATTGAATTTAATGCACTTTTGGCTTTGTTATGCATTTTTTAAACTTTGATTGGTCGCAAAAATTTTGGTATAAAAATATAGATAAATATTGGTTCAAAGAATGGATTTAAATTTTAGTCACAAGGTGGTTTAAACTGTTAAATTAAGTATGCAGTTTTGTTACCCAAATAGAAACTAACACAGAACAGCTTTCCGAATTGAATTAAATGCATTTTTAGTTTTGTTATGCATTTTTTAAAACTTGATTGGCCGCAAAAATGTTGGTATAAAAATATAAATAATATGGCTCAATGAATGGATTTCAATTTTAGTCCGAAAGTTGTAAAACGTGAAGGAGTCATTTCCGACCCTATAAACCATATATATTCTTGATCAGCATTAAAAGCTGAATCGATCTAGCCATGTCCGGCCAAAATCTATTTCTTTGCAAAATTTCCGAAAATTTCAAATTTTTATAAGGGGTTACATCATTAAAATTGTCAAAAATTGGCAAAAAATTGAATTTATTAATATGTTAAACTGAGTATGCAGATTTATTATCCCAATAAAAACTAACACAGGACTGCTTTCCGAATTGAATTTAATGCACTTTTGGCTTTGTTATGCATTTTTTAAACTTTGATTGGTCGCAAAAATTTTGGTATAAAAATATAGATAAATATTGGCTCAAAGAATGGATTTAAATTTTAGTCACAAGGTTGTTTAAAATGTTAAATTAAGTATGCAGATTTATTATCCAAATAAAAACTAACACAGGACTGCTTTCCGAATTGAATTTAATGCACTTTTGGCTTTGTTATGCATTTTTTAAACTTTGATTGGTCGCAAAAATTTTGGTATAAAAATATAAATAATATGGCTCAATGAATGGATTTCAATTTTAGTCCGAAAGTTGTAAAACGTGAAGGAGTCATTTCCGACCCTATAAACCATATATATTCTTGATCAGCATTAAAAGCTGAATCGATCTAGCCATGTCCGGCCAAAATCTATTTCTTTGCAAAATTTCCGAAAATTTCAAATTTTCATAAGGGGTTACATCATTAAAATTGTCAAAAATTGGCAAAAAATTGAATTTATTAATATGTTAAACTGAGTATGCAGATTTATTATCCAAATAAAAACTAACACAGGACTGCTTTCCGAATTGAATTTAATGCACTTTTGGCTTTGTTATGCATTTTTTAAACTTTGATTGGTCGCAAAAATTTTGGTATAAAAATATAAATAATATGGCTTAATGAATGGAT